AGTGTGTATGTGTAGTTGGTAAAGAAAGATGTCTTATAAGAATCCCTTAAATAATGTATAGACTTTGATATAAAAAAGCAATTTAAGAACGATATCTAAAAATAGGAGTTAAATACTATGGGAGTTGAAAATAGTTTGAATTAGTTCCACTGTTGATTACTATCAAACTTTCAGTGCTAGTTAACTTTTTAAAACCATGTGCCACATACCAAAACAAAAAAGCAGATGGTAGCTTTGAAAGCAGAAGCATTGAATATAAAATCTCTTTCAAGAAACTTGGCTGGGAAGGGAAGGAGAAAGAAATTAGTGTCTAAAATTAAGTGGGTTATATTGCCAAATCTATTTTTCAGTTTCTTACCACTTGGATCTTTTGACTTTTTTTCCTCTTGCTTTTTTAATCTATCTTCATGTTTTATTTATTTGTTTAGGAATCTATACTTATGCTTATGAACTTATTGCTATATTACGTAATTCTCCAATGGAAATTTTAAGGAATTTCTCACTGCTTTGATTAGTTATATCATAAAAGTTAAAAATATAATTTCCTAATATGCTCAGAGAGAATGAATTGAATATTCATATACTCATTATCCAAAATCCACATTTGATTCATTTGTTTTTTTAACCCATTTGAAGAATTTTATTTTTATTTTTATTTTGGTACCAAGGATTGAACTCAGGGACACTGAGCCATATCCACAGCCCTATTTTGTATTTTATTTATAGGCAGGGTCTCACTGAGTTGTTTAGCACTTCACTGTTGCTGAGGCTGGCTTTGAACTCCCCATCCTCCTGTCTCAGCCTCCTGAGCCACTGGAATTCAGGTGTGCACCACCTCACCTGCCCATTTGAAGTATTTTAAAGCAAAGCTCAGACCCCAAGTAACTGCCTTCCTGTATTCTAATATTCATTTGTAAAAAATAAAAACAAAGGGCTGGGGATGTACCATAGTAGTAGGATGCCTGTGTAGCATGTGGGGGGCCCAGAGTTCCATCTCTAGTACCACCAAAAACACACAAAACAAACAAAAAACTCAGATTTAATTTTCAATTTTTAGATTTTTAAATTTTAATTTGTTATATATGTATGGCAGCAGAATGCATTGCAATTCATATTACACATATAGAGCATAATTTTTATCTCTCTGGTTGTATACAAAGTAGAATCACACCATTTGTGTCTTCATACATGTACTGAGGGTAATGATGTCCATCTCATTCCACTGTCTTACCTACCCCCTTGCCTCCTCCATTCTCCTCTCCCCCCCTTTTCCCCTTTGCCCTATCTAGAATTCAACTGGTCTCCCTCCCCACACCCCCATTGTGAATCAGCATCCTTAAATCAGAGAAAACATTTGGCATTTGTTTTTTTGGGATTGGCTAAATTGACTTAGCATTATATAATCCAATTCATTTACTTGCAAATGCCATGATTTTATTTTCTTTTAATGCTGAATAATATTCCATTCTGCATGTATACCACATTTTCTTTATCCATTCCTTCTTCTGAAGGGCATCTAGGTTGGTTTCACAATTTAGCTATTGTAAATTTTATTGCTATAAACATTGATGTATAAATTGAATTGTATTGCTATAAACATTGATGTTGTTGCATCACTGTAAGTCTTGTTCAATTTCTTTCTTTTATGTTCTGTAGTTTTCCTTGTAGAGGTCTTTCACCTCTTTTGTTAAATTGATTCCCAAGTGTTTTATTTTATTTTATTTTTTTGAGGCTGTTGTGAATGCGGTGGTTTTCCTAATTTCTCTTTGAGAGGATTCATCAATGATGTATAAAAATGCGTTTGATTTATGGATATTGATTTTACATCCTGCTACTTTGCTGAATTCATTTATTAAATCGAAGTTTTCTGGTGGAAATTTTTTGGATCCTGTAAGTATAGAATCATGTCCTGGGCAAATAATGATAGTTTGAGTTTTTGTTTTTCTGTTCATATTCATATCCCTTTAATTTCTTTTGTCTAATTGCTCTGGCCAGAGTTTCAAGAATCGTATTAAATAGAATTGGTGAAAGAGGACATCCCTGTCTTGTTCCAGTTTTTAGAGGGAATGCTTCCAATTTTTTTTTTTTTCATTTATAATGATACTGGCTTTGGGTTTAACATATAGCTTTTACAGTGTTGAGGTATGTTGCTACTATCCCTAGTTTTTCTAGTGTTTTGAACATGAAAGGGTGCTTATTTTATCAAATCTTTTTTCTGCATCTGTTGAAATAAGAGTAAAAACAGATGGCTTGGGATGTAGCTCAGTAGTAGGGTACCTGCCTAGCATGTGGGAGGCCCAGAGTTAAAAAAAAAAAAAAGAAAAAGAAACAAACAACAACAACAAAACTTAGGTGTTTTCTTACAAAATCACAGTGCTATTGTGTCACACTGAATAAAATTAGCAATAATTTCTAGGCATCCTTTAGTAGGCAGTCCATAATCAAATCTTCCCAGTTACCTCAAAAATATTTTGACACTTACTTGTTTGAATCAGAAAACAAACTAAGTCTATACTTTTCTTTGGTTGTTAATGTTTCTTAAGCTTCTTTAAAGTCATATTCTAGCTTCTGCCTTTAACTATTGGTGATTCATTTGCATAGCCAGATGGATTTGTATGTTTTTTGTTGTGATTCTTTGTGGTGTTTCCTTAATCTGTATATTTGCCCCAAATCCCCAAAGGTCATGGATGTACAGTGTATTTCATATTTGTATCATGTGAAGCAGTGTGACATGTTTGTTTAGTGAGTTCAGGAGGTGGCATTTCCTATCATAAAGTTCCCTATCAGTCTTTTGCCTAAATACAATTAAAGATTAAAGATTGTTGCCTGAACATTTGTTTCATTGGAAACAAAATGTTTTCATTGTAAAATATTGATTTTTCTGCTTCTGTTATTTCTTCCACATTTGTCGGTTGGTATTCTTTGTTAGAGAACTCTTCTTATAAATTAGGGCTACATGGATATTATGAAGTATAGTTCATAGAAAATGCAGGATACTTTTTTATTTTAAAAAAGTTAGAGGAGTACTGGAGATTGAACCCAGAACCTCGCATATGCTAAGGCAAGCACTCTTTTACTGAGTTACATCCCAGCCCATTTCAACATTTAAAAAAAAATTTTTAAGACAGGGTCTTACTAAGTTGTTGAGGCTGGCCTCGGATCTGGGATCCTCCTGCAACAGCAGGGTGAGTAGGCTGGGTTAAAGGTATGCTGACATCAGGCCTGGTGAGGATAAATTCTTAATTGATTTTAATTGCCAGTTTTCATAGTAAGTGATACTTGTATTAATATTAAGCAAAAATAAAAAAACAAATTTAAAGGTACTCTCGTTTTTGTAGTCTGTAAAAAGTTAAGTTTAAATTCTGTTTTTAACAAATATACATATTATTTTAAAAAAATATGTGATAAGATAAAACAGAGAACAAATTTAGAATACATTATTTACCTGGTATTTAAATGTTGTTAATATTTAAACTAAGGCTAGGCACAGTGGGTGTACCTGTAGTTCCCACCTACTCAGAGGCTGAGGAGGGAGTATTATTTGAGCCCTGTAGTTTCAGACCCATCTGGGCAACATAGTGAGACCCCATTTTAAAAATTTTTTAAACTAAGGATTAGAGGTGATTAGGAGCAAAATTCACTGACTAGTAATATGAATTTTATGGATTAATGTTTAAAAATATAACTAGCCTTACAAAACCAAATATATATAGGATAGCACTAATTTGAGAGGACAATGTTGAATGGCATTTTGAGAATAAAGGCTTTTTACTTCTTTAGGTATGAAAAGAATTTTCTCGGAAGCAATAATAATTAGTATTTATTGACTATGTTGATATAAGCCCCCCCCCCTTTTTTTTTGTGGTGCTAGGTAATCGATTAAATCCAGGGTCTGGTGCATGGATTTAAACTTTCTTTAGAGAAATATTTTGGAAATAATTGTTTTCAAATATTGTTGTAATATTGAGTTTGTCTTAATATTATCACTGCTTTATGATTTCATCATGAATTTCTTTACAGTCGTGTTAAAAATCTTAGTATATAGTTAGCTATGTTTAAGAGCTTTCTTTGTGTGGAGCACTGTTCTAAGTGCTTTCATGTATATTAACTCATTAATCTTTGAATCAGTGCTACAAAGTAGAGTCTAATATACAGATTTTACATATGAGGAGATGGCATACATAGAGGTCAAGTGGCTTGTCTGAGGTTACTCAGTTTGTAGGTAGCAGAGCTGGCATTCAGTCTCAAATGGTCTGGATCTGCAACTCATCCTCTGAACTATTACTGCCTGAAACATTTGATGAACATGTAATTTTTATAAGGTAGATGAAGACATTAATGTTGATAACTGTGGCTTCTAGTGTTTATTAAGGACCTACTGTTTGCTGTGAAGATATAGAAAACATGGAAATTTCTTGTATTTGAGGAGCTAGACTGTCATTTATGATAAGCATTTCAAAATGTTAAATAGTTCTCAGTCTTTCTAACAATAGTTAAAATATTTTTCTATTTGATGCATGAAGAAGTTACAGAATAGCATGTGTGAATTGATATGGCATTGTAATAAAAACAACATGCTTTTCAATACAGTTTGGTTGATTGAAGTGGGGTCTTGCTATGTTGCCCAGGCTAGCTTTGAATCCTTGGGCTCAAGTGATCCTCCTGCTTGAGCCTCCTGAATAGCTGGGACTATAGGTGTGTACCATTGTACTCAATTTTTTTTTTTGAGTCAGGGTATCAAAAAATCTGCCTAATACATTGTCAGACCCAAAGATTCTTTTATATCAAGAAGTAGGTGTTTTTCTTTTTCCCTCCTGGGTGCTGGATATTGAACGAAGCATCTTACACTTGCAAAGTACCTGCTCTACCACTGAGCTATGCCTCCAACCCCTAGTGTTTTGTTTTTCTTTTTATTTACTCGTTATATTCAGGTTATCTTGCATTCCATTTTATAAAACATGTAATTGTTTTTCCCCCCCATGTTTTTCTTTTTCTGACAGCTCTTCACAGATGGAATCACAAATAAACTTATTGGCTGTTACGTGGGTAATACCATGGAAGACGTAGTCCTGGTGAGAATTTATGGCAATAAAACTGAGTTGTTAGTTGATCGAGATGAAGAAGTGAAGAGTTTTCGAGTGTTGCAGGCTCATGGCTGTGCACCACAACTCTATTGTACCTTCAACAATGGACTATGCTATGAATTTATACAGGGAGAAGCGTTGGATCCAAAGCATGTCTGCAATCCAGCCATTTTCAGGTACATATCTTTTTCTAAATTTTTCCTTTGAAAAGGAATATTAAATGCACTTAAGAAAATATTTTTTAAAACTACTTTTGTTTCTTTGAGCTATTATTTGGTTTACTTGGAAACTTTCTTTAGAGCTATTTTTGTTTGTTTCTTTTCTTAAGAATTCTCATTTTTGACTACACAAAAGGGCTACAAGAGATTTTTGATTAATTGATGTAGGGTCAGGGCTTTCCCTTAGTTTTTTAAAGAAATGTTTGAAATTGAAGGGTTGCAAATTTCTTATTTTAAGCTACTTATTATTTAATTGCTCATGTTTTCATAGTTCTTAATAAATGTCTATTAATTGTTATCCCCTTTTTGCTATTAAGTTGTTCATTATTGAACTCAGTATCTTAGATTTGCTATAAAGAAAATGTATGTATTTGAGATATATATATATATATATTTTTTGATGGTTTTTCTAATATATTTGATGATTTTTCTAAAATCATCTTTAAAAATTTACTTGATGCTCTTAAACTCTAGAAAATGGGTTTGATTTTAAAGTAGCAGGTTCATAGTTCTCATTTTTTTCTTAGTAATTTTTTATAACTCTGAAAAGTTACTGAGTAATACAACAGCTTTTATTTTAATGTTTTATTTATATTTATCAGTATTTACAATATTCAAACTTAAAATTTTTAGAACACAAGAATATCTGGTGGACATCGTGTTAAACATCAGTATAATGACATTATCATATGTCAGGTAGCTTCCCAAACAATACTGTATACTTTGAAAGAATGAGAGTGAGGATGGTAAATGTCTTATGAAAGAAAGTTATTAACATCCTGAAAGATCTTGGGTATCAGGGGCATGCTTTAAGAAGTGCTGAATTAACACACTGATAAAAATTGAATGGATCAGTATCATTTGTTTATTGGGTAACCCATATCAGCTAATAAAATAATTTGTCATAGAAAGTTATTCAAATCCTAGGTATTAGCCATCAGGTATATTCTCTTTTAGATGTGTTGAAGGATTCCGATTAATAAATTTGTGCTTGTTCTTATTTTCCTTTTATTTTGAGAATGGGGTCTCCCTAAGTTGCCCAGGTTGGCTTCATACTTGAGATTCTCCTCCCTTAGTCTCCTGGGTAGCTGGGACACCAGGCTGTGATTACTTGTTTTTTTTTTTTTTGAGATGGGATCTAGCTATGTTGCATAGGCTTGTTTCAAATTCCTGCTTGAACTCAAGGGCTCCTCTTACTTCAACCTCTGGAATGATAGGACTAGCAGATGCACATCCCCATGTCTGACTGACTTATCTTTTTGTGTCAAATTTTTTGGGTCTTGAGGCTTACATAAGTTTATTATTTATAAATCTTTAGTCTTGTTCACTATGGTTGAGAAATACCTGTATAACAGTGTTAAAAGTCTAAAGATACATTGGACCAATGAAAAGCTGGGATTAGATTCAGAAACAAAAATACTCATTGTGTAAGGTTGCTAGATAAGAGCCACATGAGCTTCCTTTGCATTTAAGCAGAGACACAAATGTCTTCAGGGTCATTGTCCATACCCCTACTCCTTAATCCCATATTCACTGAAAAATAAGTCCCTGCTTGCCCACAGCCCAGAAGCTGCATGCCCACAAGTTTCAGTTCCCATATGGATTTTTATCATGAGAGATGGCAGCAAAGGCATCAATAGCAAAAGGTTCTTGGTATTCTTGGTAGTCTTGGCATTCTCTTTTGGTATATGCAAGATACTGACAACATTAATATCCAGCAGTGCCTTGGATATAAAGCCACCAGAACTACAGGAAGGCCATAGAATACTATTTCAGTTCCCCATGGTACTCCCTCCCACCTTTGGTTCTTCCTCAGAGCTCTTATAAGGAAGCTATATAATAGTTCTTTGACTATTACATGGTCTCCCAGGACTCCTACAGAGGTTATTCACATTATAATAGGTATGAGCAGCATCCACATGGCAATAGGAACTAGATATACACAAGAGAAGGCTCAGAGGAGGAGATGGAAACCAAGTCAAATGGAGAATAGTACTGAACTTGAGCAATATGGAACTTATCAAAAAGGTCTGCTACCTTGCAGAAAAGGAAGATGCATAGAGAAAAAGTGACCACTGCTAAACATGAGATGCCTGGACAACTACATGAACCTTGACCAATGCCTATATGACACCCATCAGTCAGTGGACACCCAGCAAGCACTAGGCCAAGATGAAATAAATGGTTGTATAGGAACAGCATTGCTGAAACTCAGGCTGTGAAGACTGTGGTACACCTGCATTTGACACACACTGTGACAAAAAACACACGAATTAATGTCCAGTTGTTTCCCTGAAGTTTTGACCATGGCACTAGAATCTCTGAGAATACTATCTGAACAGGACTACTTTTTTTTTTTTTTTTTGATATTCTCTATTTCAGGGGCCTGTCAAGGGGGTGGAGTGATATGTCAGCTGGAAGTTGGCAGACAACTGTTACCAATACTAGAAATTTTCTCTTTAACATAAAATTATAATTTTGTATGTATATTACTTTTTTTTTGGTACCAGATATTGAACCAAGGGGTCCTTAACCACTGAACTACATCTCCAGCCCTTTTTATTTTGAGACAGGGTCTTGCTAATTTACCTAGGGACTTGCTAAGTTGCTGAGGCTGGCTTTGAACTTATGATCCTCTTGCCTCACCCTTCTAAGTTGCTGGGATTACACACTATATTGATTTTTGATGTTGTCAATTTTCTTGCTTACAGACAGTGGAAAAAAAAGTGTTCAAAAGATTAGAAAAAAAAAAGTTGCTTAAGTCCAATATCATTTTACTGGTAGTCTTAACTGCCTTTGTAAGCCTCACATTTTTTTTTTTTAATACATTGGTACTCCTGAATTGTCTTTAATATATCAAATTTAAACTTTCAGTTTAAACTGGTGGATACCATCTGCCAGTGAGATCAGATTTAGAATTTTTCTCCTTTTACTCCTCAGTCTCATGGTGGAAACTGGATATGTGGAACAGACTTTTTTCCTCTTTCATTGATGATAGTGGAAATTTGTGGAATGAGGTAAAATGTTGAAATTCGACATTAGGTTGCTTACCTCTTTCATTAAGTGTACATTTTAGCCTGTGTGGTGACGCATACCTGTAATCCCAGCAGTTTGGGAGGCTGAGGCGGAAGGATTGCAAGTTCAAAGCTAATCTCAGCAACAGCGAGGTACTCAGCAACTCAGTGAGACCCTGTCTCTAAATAAAAAATACAAAATAGAGCTGGGGATTTGGTTCAGTGGTTGGGTGCCCCTGAGTTCAACCCCTGGTATGCCCCTCCACCAAAAAAAAAAAAAAAAAAAAACGTTACAGAGCCAGATTGCCTCAGCTTTATGAGCTGAATGAATTTGGGCACAGTATTAAGCTTTGTGTGCCTTAATTTCCTTATCTAAAAAATTGGAATAATAATGCTGTTGTAAGGATTGAATTTATTAGTACAGAAGTGTAGGTTGGGTGTCCTTTATCCAGAATATCTGGGACCAGAAGTATTTCTCCAAATTTTGAAACATTTGCGTATATATAAAGAGACACCTTGGGGATGGAACTTAAATGAATTTTGTGTTATATCATATTTAGACTTATGTTTCATATACAGCTTATACATATACCCTGTAGGTAATTTTATACATTATTTTTAGAATGTCCTTGACTTGACAGACTGACCCCCATCATGTTAGATCATGGTAGAATTTAGAATTTTCTACTTGTGGCGTCATGTTGGTCTTCAGTGTCAAATTTGGAATGGTGTTTTGGATTTTGGAAATTCTGATGAGGGGTACTCCACTTGTCTGTTTAAAAAGTTTAAAATATCATTTGGTATATGTTAAGTACTAGGTGTTAACTTTTGTAATATTCCCCCATGTCTTCTCAAATTTTTCTAAACTTCTGCAGATCTTCTAACAATTTAGATAGTAACTTAAAAATTATTAATATTACTTAGGCAAATTATCATGCTAGGCCTTGTTCTTTGGCTTTATTATGCTTTTGGAAGCACTGTAGTTATTTATTTTTAGTATGGGGGATTTCACTCAGAGACATTTTACCTTTGAGCTACATCCCCAGCCCTTTCTACTTTTCATTTTGGAACCTGGTCTTGCTAAGTTTCTCAGACTGACCTTGGACTTTCACTTGTGCCTCAGCCTCCTGAGTAGCTGGGATTACAGATATGTGCCACCACACCAATTTCAATTTAAAGTTGAAATTTAGCCAGATGCAGTGGCATGCTCTGTAGTTCTAGCTACTCAGGAGACTGAGGCAGAAGGATTGCTTGAGTCTAGAAGTTTGAGGTCAGCCTGGACAACATTAGCAAGACTTGCTTTCTTTCTCAGTGCTGGGGATTGAATTCAGGGCCTCACACATGCCAGGCTAGTGCTCTGCCACTTAACCACATACCCTCTAGACCTTATTTCTGAAATAACTAACTGAATAATTCATTCATAGCCATTTTTTTCCTTTTTGGTATTATTTACTTTCACATATAAAGTTCTGAAGTGCTAAAAGCAGCATACACATGTGGCAAAGCAAGTATTTATTGCTACTAACTCCCTCTCCCTTGTTTAAGACAGACAATACTAACTAGTATTGGAACTGTTTCCTCTTTAGCCAGGATTAGACCTCAGAATCCTTCCCAACTGTGTTAGCCAGGTTTCCATTGCTGTCCCAAAATATCTGAAAAAAATCAAAAGTAGCAAAGATTTCTTGTGGCTTATAGTTTTGGAGGTTTCAGTATGTGGTCAATTGGCTTCTTGGTTTTTTTAGCCTGTGGGCAGAACGCCATGGCAAGGGAGCATGTGATGGAGCAAAGAGAAGCAAACTAAACGTGTGTAGACTTTTATTTATTTTTTTGTCATTTCCTGATGATTCAGAAGCAGAGAGAGAAAGGAAGGGAGCTAGGGTCCCCAAAGTCCCCTTCAGGCATCTCCCCAGTGACCCAACTTCCTTCTGTTAGGCCCCACCTCCT